TCTTTTTGCTTATGTGGTGCTGAGGAATCGAACCCAGGGCCTCAGGCATGCAAGGCAAGCACTCTACCACTGAGCCACCTTCCCAGCCCCCTAGATCTTCTTTAATTCAATAATGTTTATAGTTTGCAGATCCTACTCCTGTGTGTATGTGTCAGTCCTGGGGCTTAAACTTTGGCATAGATGCTGAGCTTGAGCTTTCGTGCTCAAAGCGAATGCTCTACTTTAGCCACAGCTCTCCTTTCTGCCTTTTGCTAGTTAAGAGTGTCACAACTTTCTCGCCCTGGCTGACTTTGAAGTGTGATCCTCAGATCTCAGACTTCTGAGTAACTAGTGGTATGAGCCATCAATGCCCAGCTTATAGAGGCATTTAAGTTTTAACTTTTGTCAAACTCGTTCTTAAGAATTACCTTTTCTTTGAGACAGTCTCATTATGTTTACCAGATCTGCCATAAACTTGTGACTTCCCGAGACCATTCTTGGTTTGATCCCCAGCAGCACCCCTCAAAAATAAAATTTTAAAAAGGCTACAGGCATGGCTTAAGTGACAGAGTACGTACCTAGCAATGGACAGTAGACCTGTCAAAAATCTGAGTTAAGCCAGGTACTGGTGACTCATACCTGTAATCCTAACTACTCAGGAGGCTGAGATCTGAGGATTTCGGTTTAAAGCCATCTTGGGCAAGAAAGTACCTGAAACTCATCTCCAATAAGCCACTAGAAAATGGCAAGTGGCGCTGTGGCTCAAGTAGTAGAGCGCTAGCTTTGACCTGAAGAGCTGAGGGACAACACTCAGGCCCAGAGTTCAAGCCCCAAAACCAGAAAAAAAAGAAAATTTTATTTAAGCCAGGTGCTGGTGGCTCATGTGTGTTAATCCTAGTTAGTCAGGAGGCTGAGATATAGGTATTACAGTTCAAAGTCAGCTCAGGCAGGAAATTTTGTGAGACTCTTTATCTCCAGTTAAAAACAAAACAAACAAAAAAGGTAGGAGGTTCACTGTTCAAATGTAGTGCAAAAACGTTTGGGGGCTGTGAATGTGGCTCAGTGGTAGAGTGCGTGCCTAGCATGCATGAAGCCATGGGTTCGACTCCTCAGTACCACATAAACAGAAAAAGCTGAAGTGGCACTGTGGCTCAACTGGTAGAGTGCTAGCCTTGAGCAAAAGAAGCTCAGGGACAGTGCCCAGACTCTGAGTTCAAGCCCCAGGACTGGCAAAAAAAAAGCTGGAAGTGGTGCTGTGGCTCAAGTGGTAGAATGCTAGCCTTGAGCCAAAAATGCTCAGGGACAGCGCCCAAGCCCAGAGTGCACAAGCTCCAGGCTGGCAAAAAAAAAAAAAAGTTCAGGAACAAGCTGGATGCTGGTGGCTCACGCCTGTAATCCTGGCTACTCAAGAGGCTGAGATCTGAGGATTGCAGTTCAAAGCCTGGGTAGGAAAGCCTGTAAGACTCATTTCCAAATAACTGCCAGAAAACTGGCAGTGGAGCTGTGGCTCAAAATGGTAAAGCATTAACCTTGAGTAAAAGAGCTCAGGGAAAGTGCCCACACCCTGAGTTTAATCCCCATGACTAACCAAGGGCTTACTATTATGACTAACCTGCAGTCCTCCTGCCTTAGCCTCACAGGTGCTGGGGCTTACCATTAATTCATGAGTTACTCAGTGGTATACTATGCTCACTCTATATATGGTGCTATTTAATACTTTAAATAACCCTGAGATAAAAATAATCAATTCTCCAGCTTATATCTGATTATTGTTTTCCTTTGATTATTGTGAATTAATATACTGTCATTGTTTTCTTTTATAGATCATTCACGAGAAGTCTTGGACCAGTTAGTAGGCCCAAACAAACTAAAGCAAGTATCGTGGACTGTGTACTGAGGTTATGGAAATTTGTCAAACAATGAAAGCTGGACTCTGCTTTCCAGATAGGGTCAATAGATATCTGCTGCCCACTTAATTTAGCATTACTTCGTGACTATTGTGTTATTTAAGCTATGCTCTCAGAGAGTAGACTAAATCCCCATGAATGTAGTTTGTGCTGTAAAGCTAGCCAGATTCCTAAACATGTTACTACGACTCTGAGTCTGTATTTGTTTGATAAGTATTTGTTTATAAAATGCTAATCCTGATATGAACTCAGGCAGAGAAAGAGACTGTTTTGTGAAGTAAGTTTCAAATGATGTTTTCCCTTGAAATACCCTCCTCTGTAGGTATTAGAGCTGTTCTGAGATATTAACTAGTACAAATAAACCTTAGAACTCTTTGAAGTAAAGGTCTTTCTAGAAGCATAATTATTCTGCCATGATTATTTCTGGCTCTTACCTTCACAAAGTATTGAAATGTCCATCTGTGCCAGTGGCAGGTGGCTCACACCTGTAATCTTTGCTATTCAGAAAGCTGAGATCTGAGGACTGCAGCTAAAAGCCAGCCCAGGCAAGAAAGTCCATGGGACTCTTTGCTCCAATTTTAACCACCAAAAAACCAGAAGTGGAGCCGTGGCTTAAAGCAGTAGAGCAGTAGCCTTGGGTGAAAAAGTTCAGGGATAGTGCCCAGGTCTCGAGTTCAACTCACCTCATAATGCACAAAGAAAAAATTGAGAAATTTTAAAAAATAGGTCTTTTTGAAAGAAGTACTTATATAGGTCAGAAACAGATAGCTACATAAAGGAAGGCCGCAGTGGCACACACCCACAGCCCCAGCACCTGTGAGGCTAAGGTGGGAGGACTGCAGTTCAAGGTTAGCTTGGGCTATAGCCCAGACTGCATAGTGAGAACCTGCCTCAAGAGCAGAAGGGAAGGAGGGTGTCAGAAGCTGAAGTTACAATCTTTAATAGGCCCCTCTGTACAGCATTTAATAGTCCCCTCTGTATGGTATTTAATAGGCCCCTCTGTACGGTATTTTCACAATAAAAAACAATCTGTGAAAGAAAAATCTTTAGGGCTGGGAAGGTGGCTCAGTGGTAGAGTGCTTGTCTTGCACACATGAGACCCTGGGTTCGATTCCTCAGCACCACATAAGCAGAAAAAAGCCAGAAGTGTTGCTACGGCTCACGTGGTTGAGCGCTAGCCTTGAGGTGAAGAACTGAGGGACAGCGCCCGGGCCCAGAATTCAGGCCCCACGACGGACAAAAAAAAAAAATCTTTAATAGGACACCAGTGGTTCATGCCTGTAAACTTGCTAATCAGGAGGCTGAGATCTGAGGATCATGGTTCAAAGCCTCTTCCTGCCTTCCTTCTTTCCTTCCTTCTTTCCTTCCTTCCTTCTCTGTCTTTCTCTCTCTCTCTCTTCTTTCTTTCTTTCTTGTCCTGGGGCTTCCCTGAGCTTCTTTTGCTCAAGGCTAGCGATCTACCATTTGAACCACAGCATCACTTCCAGCTTTTTCTCTTTATGTGGTATTGAGGAACTGAACCCAGGGCTTCATGCAAGCATTCTACCACTAAGCCACATTCCCAGCCCATTATTCTTAGCTGATCTAACAGACAATAGATTGTTCAAAATAATAATATTATTAGTGATGTATTTAGTGATTACAGCTTCTGGTCAGGCTTATAAGGGGCATATTATAAAGTTTCAGTGTCATAAAGAACTTGAGAGTGGGTGCTGGTGGGCTCACACATATAATCCTAGCTACTAAGGAGGCTGAGATCTGAGAATCACAGTTCAAAATTAGCCTGTGCAGGAAAAGTCCATGAGATTCTATCTTCAGTTAACCACCAGAAAACTGGAAGTGGAGCTGTAGCTCAAAGTGGTATAGCATTAGCCTTGAACAAAAGAGCTAAGGGACAGCGCTCTAGCCCTGTGTTCAAGCCCCATGACTGACAAACTTGAGAGAGGAGGGTGCACTGTTAAGGTTCTCATACTGCTCATGAAGTTTATTTGAAGTATACTTGGGCTAAATGTCAATAGCTCACAACTATAATCCTAGCTGCTCAAGAGGCTGAGATCTGAGAATCTGGATCCAAAGGCAGCCCAGGCAGGAAAGTCCATGGGACTATTATCTCCAGCAAGGCAGTAAAAAGCTGAACGTGGAACTGGCTCCCAAGAAACAGAGCCCAGCCTTGAGCAAGCAAGCAGATGGAGAATACATCTCCATCATTTGATGTAGGCTCAGGCTGCCATAATCTGTGATCTTCCTATTTATGCTTCCCTGTAGTTGAGGATGACAGTCATTGGCTGCAGTGTGTGTGTGTGGTGAATTGGAGATAGGAGTCTCACAGACTTTCCTGTCCTGACTGGCTTTAAACCAGGATCCTCAGATCTCAGCCTCCTGAGTAGCTAGGATTACAGGTGTAAGCTACCAGTACCTGGCTTTGAGAACTTTTATGCTTGGACTGGTCTCAAACCAGGCTGGCCTTGAGCCCCAATCCCCTCATCTCTGCCTCCCAAGTTGCCAGGATTACAGTCTTCCACACAGGATTGTATTGATACTTAAAAGCATGAGAACAATTTAAGGCCAAAATTCCCACACTGCACTTGTTGTCAGACCGTTGTTTTCCTGACAGGTGGGCTTAGGCAGGGAGAACTCCACTATTTTACTCAGCTGCTGTTGGATGCAGTGTCCTTTGAACTGGGGGCGCCCAGGGTCACCGATCAGGACTCGGGTTCCATAGGCCCGAGAGCAGCTCCTCAACCACTGATGGAGTCTGTCAGCAAGATCATCATCATAAAACATATCTCCAAGGACAACCAGGTCCCATTTCTCCTGTTCCATATCCAAAATGTCTTCAGTTAAGATAGGGAAAGGATTCAGCCAATTCAGTTCACAATTAAGTGAAACAGCCATTCCTGCAACTTTAAAAAACATGATCAGTTAATGGGTTAGCATATATACCAATAGGCTATTCTAAAACCTTATTTAAAAAACAATTTAACCCACCTCTCCCTCCACCCCCTTTTTTGGTGTTAATCCTGGGGCTTGAACTCAAGGCCTAGACACTGTCAAGATTTTTTGCTCAAGGCTAGCACTGCATCACTTAGACAGAGCTCCACTTGTGGCTTTTTGCTGATTAGTTGTAGATGAGAATTTCATGGACTTTTCTGCCTGGGCTTCAAACGGTGATCCTCAGATCTCAGGCTCCTGAGTAGCGAGGATTACACATGTGAGCCTCCATCATCTGGTAAACATGGTTTTTGGATTTTTTGCTTTTTAAAGATAAAGCCAGACCAGTGGTGGCTCATACCTGTAGTCCTAGCTACTCAAGAGACTGAGATCTGAGGATTGCAGTTCAAAGCCAGCCAGGGGGGCTAGGAATATGGCTTAGTGGCTTGCCTCGCATGTATGAAGCCCTGGGTTTGATTCCTCAGTACCACATACACAGAAAAGCCAGAGGTGGCACTATTGCTCAAGGTAGGGTGCTAGCCTTGAGCAAAAGCAGCTCAGGAACAGTGCCCACACCCTGAATGCCCAGGACTGGCAAAAAAAAAAAAAAAAAAGCCAGGGCAGGAAAGTCTTTGAGAACTCCTTTTTTTTTTTTTTGGTCCTGGGACTTGAACTCTGGGTCTGGGTGCTGTCCCTCAGCTCTTCAGCTCAAGGAGAATGCTCTCCCACTTGAGCCACAGCACCACTTCTGGTTTTCTGGTGGTTTATTGGAGATAAGAGTCTCACGGACTTTCCTGCCCCATCTGGCTTTGAACTGTGATCCTCAGATCTCAGCCTCCTGAGTAGCTAGGATTACAGGTATGAGCCCCCAATACCGGACCAAGAGAACTCTGATCTCCAGTTAATCTCCAGAAAATTGGGAGTTGAACTGTGGCTCAAAGCAGTAGAGTGCTAGCCTTGAGTGAAAGAGATCAAGGACAGCACCCAGGTCCTAAGTTCAAGCCAAGTCCCACGACTGACCCAAAGGGAGAGAGAGAGAGAAAGAGAGAGAGGAAGAAAGAAAGAACACTAAAATGTATCCCAGTATTAAAACATGTACTGCCAGCCGCTGGCGGCTCATGCCTATAATCCTACTACTCAGGAGGCTGAGATCTGAGGATCATGGTTCAAAGCCAGCCCGGGCAGGAAAGGCCATAAGACTCTTATCTCCAATAAACCACCAGAAAACTGGAAGTGGCACTGTGGCTTAAGTGGTAGAATGCTCACCTTGAGCTGAAGAGCTGAGGGACAGCACCCAGGCCCAGAGTTCAAGCCCCATGACTGACCAAAAAAAAAAAAAAAGTACTATTCCAAATATGGTGGGTGTTATGGTTCATGCCTGTAATCCTAGCTACTCAGGAAGCTCACTTGTGAGGATTGAGGTCTCAACCCAGCCTGGTAGACAAACCCTAAGACTCTTTATCTCCAGTTAATCAGCAAAAAGCCAGAGGTGGAAGTGTGGCTCAAGTTGTAGGTTTGAAGGAAAAAGTCAAGTAAGATCAAGAGGCCCCGAGTTCACCTTCTAATACTGGCATAAGAAAAAAAAAATACTAGGGCTGGAAAGTGGTAGAGTGCTTGTCTTGCATGCATGAGGCCCTGGGTTCAATTCCTCAGTACCACATAAGCAGAAAAAGCTGGAAGTAGCACTGTGGCTCAAGTAGTAGAGCACTAGCTTTGAGCTGAAGAGCTGAGGGATAGCGCCAGGCCCAGAGTTCAGGCCCCATGATTGACCAAAAAGAAAAAAAAAATTCTAATAGGTAAGAGTGACATTGAACAAGACACATTGTATTCATAAACTGCTTTGTTAAGTGACAACGCCTTTGTACAACTACTTAAAGATTATAACATAAATGCTGGGTGCCAGTGACTCTCACCTGTAATTCTAGCTACTCAAGATACTGAGATCTGAGGATCACAGTTCCAAGCCAGCCTGGGCAGACAAATCTGAGACTCTTGTTTACAAGTAACCACCAAAATGCTGAAGTAGGCACTGGAATGTGACTTGGTGGTAGAGTGCTTGCCCAGCATGCTTAAAGCCCTGGGTTTGATTCCTCAGTACCACATAAACAGAAAAAGCCGGAAGTGGTGCTGCGTCAAGTGCTAGAGCTCTAGCCTTGAGCAAAAAGCAGCTAAAGGACAGTACCCAGACCATGAGTTCAAGCCCCAGATCTGGAGAAAAAAATAAGTAGAGATGTGCCTCAAGTTGTAGAGCTCCAGCTTTGATTATAAAAGCCAAGCAAATTCAGGAGATTGAGATCTGAGGATCATAGTTCAGAGCTAACCTGGGCAGAAAAGTCAGTGTGAGACTCTTAGATTACCAATAAATTACAAAAAAAAAATGCTGGGGGGCTGGGAAGTTGGCTCAGTGGTAGAGCACTTGCCTTGCATGCATGAGGCCCTGGGTTCAATTACTC